AAAAAAAAAAAAAACTTAACTATCAATTCTCTTAAAAAGTAAAAATCTAGAAGTTTAAATCATTCTTCTTTTTAAATAAAGAGAGAATGATGAAAGATAAAGAGCTAGACATGAGACTAACCCTGTGATGAGATACCAAACACAAATTTAAAGTAATTCATCTTTTCAAGATATATACTTGTGAAACTCATTTCTAATTCCACCTTCTGAGTTAAAACAGTAAGACTGAAGTTTTTTGTGTGTGTGAGGAAGAGTAGTGATCTGTCTTAAGACTGTCCTATGCTATAAACCAAAAAAAAGTTTTCTCAGCAAGTTTTTATAGAGTACCTGGTATGTGCCAGATGCTATGGTGAGGTGAAGAAGGGGAAAAAAGTTAAATAATAAATCTGATGTTGCTGTTGTTAACTTTAACATATTTAATTTTTTATAAATAAAAAGTTACATTCAGAACAAGTTGGACTATGAAATTGACAAAGTATTAGTACTAATGGTAAAACTAATTTTTATTAGATGCTCACTCATTTCTGAGTGGCCTGTTTCTTATCTTTATTTCCCATCCCCCCTCCCCTTTTTTTTAAGGCAAGCCTGAAGTAGCGTGTGAAAACCCACATTGTACTGTGGTACCTTTGATGCAGCCTACTGTACACATTGTAGACAGAGATCCAATCCCTGAAGAACAGGTAAGGGTGAAAGTTATTTTTTCCCCCTAATGAAGAGTTTTGCATACAAAGCTTACCTACCTTTCTTTTAAGGGACGTGGATAATTGTCAAATAACTTGTTGAATTTCTCTTTCTAATGAGCTTCAAAATTACAACATAATGTGTTGAATTTATATCATATCATTAGTCCTTAGTGCCTTGACTTTGAATCCATTGAATCCACTAGCAGATTTTCTTATTATTTATATCTAAGTGTCCCTTTCTTAGAGGCTTTTAAAAGTGATTAAACACATTAAAAATTAGTGTATTAGCTGAGGTATTTTCTGGGATGCTGGGAATGTTTTTGTCTTGATCTTAGTGATGGTTACCAGTATGTATACATAAAAATCCAAAAAATACGTAAAAATTGTGTACACTTAAGATTTGTTCACTTGACTGCCTGTATGTTGCACCTCACTTTAAAAAACTATTTTTTAATGATTACATTAGTTATTGGCAAAGGCTTCTTTTGCTCATTCTAAGGAAAACTTCTTTATCTTAGGTCATATTATCTACACAGTACTCTTAATTGCATGTGGAAACCAACCCTAGTTAATTTAATGGACAAATAATTTATTTAGAACCATTAGCTTATAGAATATTTTAGAGGGCCACATAAGCAGGTGTGAACCAGGCTGGGGTAAACAGCCAAAATCACTCAAAAGACTGTTCCAATGGAGGCATCATTGCTGAGACACTGGACACAGACATTGCCACTTGTTCCATCAATGCTGAATAGTAAAAACCACTACCTCTGGAAACTTGTTCTGCCATCATCCCTGCCAGAATGGATTTCTCAACGTGCCTGCTTCTGTTAACACAGACTTCTAAGTCAGATCTAATGCAGATATATTCGGTTAGGATCCCAGGTCATTTACCTGAACCTTAACTACAAGGGAGGCTGGGTAAGCCAGTATCGCACCCTCTGTGTTAGAGATATGGAGAACCATAAGATGAAGTGTTCCCTAATCCTAGGAAGAGTGTTCAAACTTCCTGGGAAGTCAAAAAGAACCACAAATGTCTACCACAATAAGATTAACATGCCTAACCTCCTCCCCAAACTGCCAGCCCTTCTAATTTTGATTGCTTTTGACATATGAATAAATAACTGTAACTTTAACTAAGTCTACTGTATGGTACCAGAGTGGAAAAAATAACCATTGAAGTTATTAAACTTTCTTATCCACAACCCTTTTTATTTTATTTATTTATTTATTTTTCCTTTTTGTCTTTTTTACTGACCGGTAACGGGATCGCAACCCTCGGTGTCACGCCCGCACCGGGAACCGGCAACGGGATCGCAACCCTCGGTGTTGCGCCCACACCGCGCTCAACCAGTGAGCGGGAACCGGTCTCCACATGGGATCCGAACCCTCGGCGGGAGCGCCGCCGCGCTCCCAAGCGGCGCACTCTCCAGTGCGCCACCAGGCCGGCCCCACAACCCTTTTTAGAATCAACTGTTAAGTTTTTTGAAGATTTTGATTTATCTACAGATGTATGTTTGCTTTTTTTATTTTTTTGCCTAACTGTGCTTTAATGGCCTGTGCCAAGAGCAAGCCCTCATTTTTTAATCTCAAAGATGGGAGGGTGCAAGTTAATGAATGCTTCTAGGAAGTTTTCTGCTTGAAGTAAAGTGCTTTTTCTTTTATTCATTTTCAGGAATTAGAAGCTTATGTAGATGACATAGATATGGACAATGATTTCAGAAAAGATGATTTTTATTACTTATCTCAAGAAGACAAAGAGAGACAGAGGCGTGAGCATGAAGAATCCAAGAGAGTACTTCAAGAATTAAAATCTGTGCTGGGATTTAAAGCTTCAGAGGTAGAAAGGCAGAAGTGGAAGCAACTTTTATTTAGTGATCATGGTAAGCCCAGACTTCAGAGTAAAAAGTTATTTTAATGTAGGAGATTCTTTTTTCTCTTGAACCATGGATCTGATTTTAGCTGTAGAATTCTTATAGCTTTAATTTTAGGGATTCACCAAAAACAGTACTTTTTCTTATAGATGCAAAATCAACTTGATCTATAAAAGAGTAGGTATATAATCACACTGAGAATATTAAGTCACAATTTTTCATCGGTTTTTAAATTTTTACTAAACTTGTCTTAGAATGGCAGTGAGTTGAATAATTTGGAGTATTTTAATCAAAATGTGATTTTTAACGTTAGTGAATTTGAGATTCTAAACTCTGTTCTCCATATGTTAAGATATTAAAAATACCTCAGTGAAGCATAAAATAAATAACTGTTCACTAGCGAAAAAAATGAAATAAGACGTGGGCCCTTTAGCCCATATCATTAGGGTTATTTAAGTGCTTTGTGCCCTTTAGTAGAGGGGAGGAGGTAAGGTGCTTCTGTACAGGCTGTCTCCATGCTCTGATTTGGGCAAAGCTGGATGGCTTGTAATTCTGAAGGTTAGCCTTAAACTCCTTTGTGTTAATCACCCTTCTTTTCTTTGTCAAACTTCATGGGAGGCAGGGGAAGGAATGAGGAGAAGCTTGAAACTTAACAATATCAGCCTAGCTGATTTCTAGTTGAGTTCATTCCTATGGATTTCTAAGAAGGTAGAGTGGGACTTCCATTTTAGAGTATCTGCGTGGACCCTCAAAATTAACTTTCCTTTCTCTTTCTCACCAAACCAAATCGGTTAACTATATTTCTGGACATCTCCTCAGGGTCCTCTTTTCTTCTCTTAGGAGTCCTACCATTATCCCATATTCAGGTCTTCATCTCTTGGTTTTATCTTTCCTCTTTCTTCCCATTGGCCCATGTTCTCATTAGAATGTGCTTGTACATTATAATAGCCTATTAGCTGACTTCTGTTTTCAGTACCATTTTCTTCTAAGCTATCCTGCAAGCTCTTTCTAGATTTTCTCAAACAGTACATTGATAATGGCTCTTTCTCTCTTAAAACCTATAGTGGTTACCCCTTTCTTATTGTACTAAATCTAAACTCCTTTTCCTGGTTTCAAGCCTCTCCATCGTTAAGAATCCATCATATCCAATTATATTTCCCACTATTTCTAATGTAGATTTCTTCCTCTACTGTCTACTTAGACTACAGTTCCACAAACTTGCTATTTTTATTCATTAAAAAAGTTCATGCTGATCCCTTAACCAAGAATTCTCCAGTCTGTGCTCCATGAATCCTTCTCTGACTCCTTCAGCCCTGCCACCTCTCCTACCACTACAGACCCTTACTCTAGAGGGGCATTATAGTGAAATGTGAGGGAAGTCTTGAGCAGCAAAGCACATAGCAGAGAAGGGAAATGATTAAGAACTTCCCAGATCCACAGCAAAGATAGAGTTCTGCAATGTGCTTGTTTATATATTGGCCCTACATAAATCAGAAATTAATGGTATGATGTTTTAGGCACTATTGTTTTCTGTGTTCAATTTTTTTTGTCTCTGTAACCAAATTACAGTCTCCTTAAATAGGGGCTTTATTGTCCGCTCAGCATTCAGTCAGCAAATTATTCACTTGTAGTAACTGAGTATCTGTTATGTGCAAGGCATTGTTTACTGTTGTATCCCTAGCACATAGATCAAGAGACAAAAATGCCTACCCTCCTGGAGGCTTAATACACTTCTCAGTTGACCTTCCCATTATACAGATTATATCCCGTTACACAGATTATATTCCATTATAGATTATAATTAGCAATAATCATATCAATCGACTTCTAATATATGTCTCATTCTTTAAGAACTAGCAGATTTATAAACTAAAAGTGTAAATAAAGACAGCATTGTGTATAAACTTGCATCCTTTTTTATTATTTAGTATTTTCTTCATATAGCTTTAAAATCCTGTTGACATTACGGGTAAAGATATAACAATAAGAGAAATGTGTCTCTTTTTCAGATATGTGCTTTTAATACAGTTTGCATTGAAAAGGCAATAATGCTGTTTTTAGTTTGTGAAAATAAGTAAAAACCTGCTGATACCATAAAATGCTTTTCCCATGAAAAATTTCAGTACATCTTCCAGAGTTGTTTTCATCTCTGCCTACAGGGATAAAGTCCGAATGGAATTAGAGAGGGAAATTCTACACTGGAACCTGCTGTGGCCATTGTTTTCTGTTGTTGCTGCTTCTCTAGTGGAGTTACTGCAGCTTAGGGATGCTTCTTGGAAATGGACATGTTTTACAAAAATATTTTTTAAATACACGCCAGCTCTTCAAGAAGCACTTTTTTTTCTTCCGTCCTGCTTCATAGTATATTGTATTGTACTAACCCCTCATGCTGGGAGGAGAGACTGCCTAGCAAGCAACTCACTGCCTACTAACATCAACAGGGGCTAAATAAAACTTCATTTTCCTTGCAAGGACGACTTCTGCCGTATGAATATATATTATATTTATGCATTACTTTGTACAGTAGTTAATCTTGAATGCAGATTTTTATTTCATTTGTGTTTTTCTGTGGTACTACAAAATGTGTAGAAGTTGTGGCTTTATTTTCATCAGGGTCTTGTTAGGTGGTTGGCAAGTAAGTTGAATTGTCTGTTGCATATTTTCTGTGCAGTTTTAACTTGTAAATATGTTAAATATATGATTATTATCTGGATCACTTTAGGTCTTTTATCTGGCACACATTATCAGTGAAAACCAAAATGCTTGTTCTTTAATACAGTGGTTCTCAGACTATAGTGTGCATTGGAATCAAGTGGAGGAGATATCAAGCACAGCTGGTTCCCTCTCCTACAGTTTCCAATTCAGTAGGTCTGGGATGAGGCCCAAGAATCTACATTTCTAATGAATTTTTAGGTGATGACTAATGCTGTTGGTTCAGGAACCACACTTTGAGAACTACTGTTTTAATATTTTGAATAAGATAGTATGTGAGGTGTCTTTAAAATCTTCATGAAATTCCATCTCATTTCATTTTTTAAGCATTTTATCTCTTATAAAGTTCCCTGGATTTATACATTTACATTGATTTTATTAGAAAGTTTTATTTCACTTTTATTTATTTATTGTTCTTTTTAAGAAAATAACTACTCAGTTTAAATTAAAGTTTAAATCATTGCTGGGTCCTTAGTTATTATTTTTCTTTTCTTCCTTTTTTTCCCCCCTCTTTGAAGCTGTGTTGAAATCCTTGTCTCCTGTAGACCCAATGGAACCCATAAGTAATTCAGAACCATCAGTGAATTCAGATATGGGAAAAGTCAGTAAAAATGATACTGAAGAGGAAAATAGTAAACCCTCCACAACTGACAATGAAATAAGTAGGACTCAGTTTTTATGTGAAAACCCTCAAAAGGGTAAAGATAAAGACAGTTCTTCAAATGAAGTCTTCCTCCAAGGAGCTGAGGAAAGAATGTGTTACCAATGTGAGAGTGGAGATGAATCTCAGCAGGCAGATGAAGGTGGCCTGTCCACTGCCCCTCCAACTCCCAGGGACTCCTTACAGCCCTCCCTTAAGCAGAGGCTGGCACGGCTGCAGCTGTCACCAGATTTTACCTTCACTGCTGGCCTTGCTGCTCCACTGCCCCTCCAACTCCCAGGGACTCCTTACAGCCCTCCCTCAAGCAGAGGCTGGCACGGCTGCAGCTGTCACCAGATTTTACCTTCACTGCTGGCCTTGCTGCAGAAGTGGCTGCTAGATCTCTCTCCTTCACCACCATGCAAGAACAGACTTTTGGCGATGAAGAAGAGGAACAAACAGTAGAAGAAAATGAAAATGGCGGAGAAGAAAGAACCGAGATTCACATGAAGTGATTGTAGATTGTTCAAAAGTGTTTTAGCTTCAAAACTGGAAAGGGAAAATGAGTGTAAGTTTACTATATATGAAGCTAAATTGTGAGTTTACAGCAAGAACCCTGGTTTGAAAAACTGATCTGAAAATTAGTACTTACCTGTAAATGGCAGATCTTTTAGGAAAATAAGAGAAGGTAAGGGCTCTTTTGAATAAACTACAGTTTTATTTGCGACGTGTCTGATCAATCTTGGAAATTCTTTAAGTACTTTTAATAAGAAATGAATTTATCATTTCTTGCCAGAATTTACTACCCTAAGGTGACTGGGATAATTGCAAGAACATTAACATTTAGTATGACTCCTTTTTACTGTATTCTTGCAGTTAATAACTGCAGCTATTATGTTAATAATAAGTTGTTTGTATTTTATTTTTGTTTATACCAGTCTTAAAGCAAAGATACAGGTTCTGAATAAAAAATATTAATTCATACAATTGATGTGTGCTGGGCTTTGGAACTAAAGCATAGTTTCATAAGTACTTGGGTGATAAGATATTTCTTATGTTTCCTTGTTCATGAGTGAAATCAGCAGTTAATTTTAAAATGTCCTATCAGTCTTTAAAAGAAAAACATAGTACCATTTTAAGAACTACCCTTTCAATTTTTTTGTTTATCACTTCTTTTGTTCTTTAGTTGCAACTAAAGAAATGATGTCAAAGTGGGATTCCTATAGACCAAGGCCCCATCTTCAACTTAGCAGAAAGTTCTTTGATTCAGTTTGTCTAGAGTTAATTGGGTGCCATTAACACAAGCAAATCACAATGCTGCTATTTTCTAGCTCTATCCACCTTAATGAGGTTCAGGAAACATCCTGTTAGCTTCCTGGAAAGTACACTGTCTCCTTAACTTCATTTACAGATTATGTCTTAGAAGAAACTGCTTCCCAAATCGGCCAATCTCATCTGTTCTCTGTTGTGATTGCACTTTCAAGGAATGATATTTTCAGGAGTATACTGTTTTTGAAACCTGTACCTCCTATGCACTGACATAGTTTATAGATATTATTTGGGGGAAATGTAGAAGTAACTCAATTTATGCTGTCCTAGAAAGGAAGTTACGTGGTGAATCTAAATTGTCTTTAGAATTAAGAAACACATTCAAATTCCTGTAACTTGAGTACTTAAACTGAAAGATTTTTTTTGTTTGTTTTTTCAGTAATCTAAGGAAATTTATCTTTTATCCTGAGGAGAAACTTGGTTCTGCTTTATATGAATAGCACAGATCCTTTGTACTGTAAATGATTTTGCCTGTTTCCAAAATTCTGGAATTTATCCATAATTAACCTCTTAAGAGCAATACCTTAGGGTGAGCCTAGTTTTACCACTTAGAAATAGCTAAGTTTCAAGAAGAAAAACCATTTTGTGTTGTAACTGATTATTATATTCTTAAATAATAATACTTAGGGTTTACTTATTTAACTTACTTATCTTGCCGACTGTTTTTCCTTGGATTTAAAAGTAGCAATTATAGAAAAACTTGGTAATATCTCTCTTAAATTTTATTAGGTTTTTTTAATTTTTAAAAAACTTTATCAGTTTATTTAGTGCTCTCTGAGTTGATACTCTTTAATTTTGAAAGATTAATTTTAATCAAGAATTCCCAATCTTCTAGTCTGATCTGTTCTATTCACTAGTTAGCTCTAAAAACTCTAGTTGTTGAAATTATGATATAAGGATCTTGGAACTTTACTTAAGTGTCCTTTTTTCTGTGTAGTTTTCAACATTTCTTTTACCTTTTAAAATAATCCCAAGATAAAATATTTTGTTCTCTGTAAAAACTCTTTGACTAATTTTCTCTTATGATAGTCTAAGTCAGTGTTTCTTAGTTGTTTTAGTGGGGTATCTGCATCACAATAAACGGGAGGTCTTGCTTTTAAAATGCAGATTTTAGGCCATACTCCCAGTGATTCTTAGTCAATCATTTTGGAATGAGACCTAGGTAATGTTTATACCCAATAAAATCTAAGAACCTCTGTCTAGGACTTTGTTCTTCTTGCCATGAACACCTTAGGAAATATAAACAGTCCAATGTAACATAAGTGTGTGTTCTTGTTTGTTACTCTTCTAAGAATATTTTACTTTTGCTTCTCAGGCTTTTGACTAGTTTTAATAACTGCCATCCTACATCCAGAAGAAGCCTTCTAGGAAAAACATTTTAGGGAGGAAACTTATAATTGTGCTTTCCAATTTTACTGTATTATCTTACAGTAAAATTCTTTTTTTTTCCTTTTTGTCTCTTTTTTTGTGACCGGCAACGGATCGCAACCCTCAGGGTCGCGCCCGTACTGGACCGGGACCGGCAATGGGATCGCAACCCTTGGTGTTGCCCCCGCACCTCGCTCAGCCAGTGAGCGGCCGGTCTGTATGTGGGATCCGAACCCTCGGCGGGAGCGCCGCTGCGCTT